TCCCAGCAACCACACGGTGGCTCCCAACCATCTCTAGTGGGATCTGACGCTCCATCTGGCATAAAGTCAGGCATGCCGATAGAGCACTCATGCATAAAACAAATAAATAAATCTTAAAAAAAAAAAGCATCCCTCCCCATGACTGGGTCCTATGTCATAGGTGTTAAACTAAACTCACTACATTCAAGGGCTCACTGAATCCCCCCAACAGCCTCTTGAGGCATGAGCTAATGAATGCCTGTCCTATTTGGAACTGAAACAGTTGAGCTCACCTGCTCCGTAAGCCAGCTGAGGTGGCCAAGCCTGTAATCCTAGCACTTGGAAATTGGATGCAGCAGGATCCCAAGATGGAGGGGCCAGCCAGGATTCCACTGTGAGATGCTTTCAAATGAATACGTACACACGTGTTTCTCGTAGTCTTCTCCTGCGGCTGTGATGAAATACACTGACCAAAGCAACGCAAGGGAAAAGGGGATTGATCTCAGCTCATGGCTTCGGGTTATAGTCCATCACGGCGGGGGAAGTTATGGTGCCAGATCTTCATTTGGCCACACCCTCAGCGAGGAAGAAGACAGCTTGACTGTATACACTGAACATGCTAGTACTAAATCAGATCTCTCCACTTTTATACAGCACAGGACACGGCCCATGAAATGATCTCACCCGTCATTGGGATAGCTTGTCTCATCTCAGTTACCATAATCAAGATCATTCCCCACAGGCATGCCCAGAGGGCCAGCTCCCCGTCATTCTACAAGGTCAAATTGACAATTAAACCAAGTGCTGAACTTACTATTTATAATTACCCCAGGGAAAGCGCAGGGGATTGTGTTGGGCCAAGTGGATCAGGTGCAGGACAGCAAATGCGGGGTGCCCTAAAATAAGCAGAAGCTAAAACTGTCAGTGGCTTAGAATTAGGGAGCAAAATGGTGATTACCTGAGGCTGGGAATGAGCGAGGGAAGATGGGGAGAGGATGGCTAATGGCGCAGGGGTGCCTTGGGACTGCAGGGGCTCCACAGCACTGAAGGATGTAGCTGATTGCCAACCACTAACCGAGTGTTTGCAAACAGCTTATAGAGGAGAGCTAGAATGTTCCCAACACAAAAACTAGGCAGCATCTGGGGTGATGGTCATGCCACCTACCCTGAATGGTCATGACCCATTAATACTTGTGCAGAGATACCACACTGTACCCCAAAAACATGTGCAATCATTATGTCTATTAAAAATAAAAACAAATGCTATTTTGAAACCCATCCAAGGGACAGAGAGAAAGCTCAGCAGGTTCCGTCGCGCGCTGCATAAGTGTGAGGGCCCAAGTTAAAATCCGGGAACCCACATAAGAAGCCAGGGTAGTCTCCTGCCTGTGACACCAACACCACCATCGTGGAGGAGGCAGGGGGACTACTGGGGTTCCCTGGTCACCAGCCTAGCTCCAGGATCAGTGAGAGAATCTATGCCAAGGAAATAAGATGCAAATTGATAGAGAGCTGGACACAGGGCATCCTCCCTTGGCCTCTGCACACAGGCACGTGCACACACACATGCATACACTGCACACACATACGCACACAACACACACACCACCCCAAAAAGTAACAAAGCAAAACTCGCACTTGAACCTATCCCTTCCTCTGTCTTCTCAAGGCATGCTTCTGTTCCTCTGCCCCATCCTCCTGAGCCATGCAGAGTCCTCCATAAGCACAGCAAGCCATCCTCCCACTGGCTTCCAATGGACTCCTGAACTCCCCTACAGAGAACATACGGCCCTTGAAAATGCAAGCACCGCCCCATGCAACAGTGAGGAAGTTGTGTCTGGCAGAGGACACTTTACATTGTGTAAGCTGCCTCCTTCCCTGGTGCCGACAATCACCCCCTGCATGTCACTTCTCTTTGATGTCAGCTAAGGGAGCTTTCCACCCTGTGAAGCAGTGAGCAAAATCCCCACCACCACCCAGAACGGATTTAAAGCCAAAAGCTGTTCTTCCCCACAAATAGCTCTCATCCTGCTTACAGCCTGGTAATCAGCAATCAGCAATAATGAGGAGGAGGATGGAGGAAACATACAGGGAATTAAATGAGAATCTGCAAGATAAAATTAAGCATTTTTAAATGGGCCTCCGCGGTATCTGGGGAACACCTCATTCAATGATCCCACCGTCTGAAGTTCCCGGAATAGACTGGGATGTCTGGCATCCGGTCTAGACTATCCCCGCACCAACCCTGTTCACCTGTCTCTTGGGCCCTTCCAGAAGGCAGAGCATCTGGGATTCAGACTGCCTTGGCTGGAGAAGGGCTGAAAACTCAGTGGTTTCCTCAAGTTTTCCAGCTCCAGCCTGTCTGTGGAACTCACTAGCTTAGAAAGTCACCCACAAACACTCAGTGAGATGTTCGCAGATTCCCGAAACATCTTTAGAAGGCACAGTCCCTGAAGCTCCGAAATCCAGGCTCACTTCAGGAAGCAAGGCTCCTGGCCTCTGCCATTCAAGGTCTGGGCTTCAGCTCCCCCACAGCAAGCCACCTGTGGACTGGGCTCTGCATGTAAGCTGGCCAGTTCATCATCAGCTCTCCGATCCCACTTCCTCCTGGTGAGCTCCTGCTAGCCATACCTGTCACCTCCTCCAGGAAGGCCCTCCTCCCAGTTTCTCTGGGTAAACCCCCCAACAGCCTTTGGCAATTGTGGGGAGCGTGTTTGTTTGTGTGCAATTCTTTTCCACCTATCTGAACCTTCCATACGCCGATGCTTGATGCTTGGTGCAGCCCGTCCCCAACACTGATGTCTGAAATAGGGTTTCAGTCAAGGCCAGCCAGAGACACTGGCACAATGACAATTAATGACACAATGACAATTATCACCTGGCTGCCACCTGAAATACTCTGTCTCCAGAGCGAGTTCCAGGGCAGCCAGAGCCATACAGAGAAAACCTGTCTCGGAGAACCAAACAATAATAATAATAATAATAATAATTGCTTTTGCCCAATGCTTTGTCACAGCAAAATGTAACACAGTGCTTGAGATTTCCATCTGAAATTAAACAGTTCCAGGAATGGCGGTGTATTCTTGTGATCCCAGGACTCAGAGGCTGAGTCAAGAGAATTTTGAGTTCGGGGCCAGTGTGGTCTACACAGTGAACACCAGGAAGAAGAAGGAAGTCAAATATCACTTTCTCCTGAAAGAGGTTTCCCAATGCCCTCTAGTCTGAATTAGGTGCCCCTCCCTGAAAACCTGGAATCTTCTCTCCCCGTGACTCTGGGCTATTGTTGACTTTCTGTGTCTTTCTCGTAAGAGGCCATGAGTACAAAAGGCCCTAGTGTCTTGTTCACACTGTATCCCCAAGTAACCACATATAGGTTGCTTATCAAGATTTGAAGAACAAATTAAATTTCAGACCCAAAATGTAAATATAGGAAACATGGCAGTAGTTCACTGTGTTGCCCAACAGTGCCTCAGGCAGACACCCACGTACCCCTTCCTATGCGGCTCATTGCTGTCAAATCCTACCTCTGGTAAAGATGGGTCAGAGACAGGAGGGCGGCCATATGCATCAGGGGTAATCAAGGGACTGTGGTTGATAATGCCAACACAGGTCACATGGTACAGCAGGCATCTACACGTAACAACTTAGATGTCTAAGCAGCTCACAGATGTGAGTATGTCTACAAATTGAAAAGAAGGAAGCCTTGGCCAGACCCCAGACCCTTAGTGCTACCTGCTCAGCCATCGATGATCACGGACAAGCCCCTCTGAGGACCTGGCACCCGCTGCTCTTCTGATATATGAAAATCTCTAATCCTGTTGCTTGCAAAATGTGTGTGTGTGATGGGTACTGTGGGTGTGTGCACATTTGCATGCTGGTGTGTGTGTGATGGGTACTGTGGGTGTGTGCACATTCTACACATTTGCATGCTGGGGTGTGTGCTCGTGAGTTCCATTCATGGGAAGGCCTGAGGTCAACATTGGGTATCTTCTTTGATTATTCCTCATCTTTAGTTTTTGAGGCAGGGTCTCTCACTGCAGCTGTGTGTATAGATCCAGCTTGACTGGCTGGTCAGTGAGCTTCAGGGCCCTGCCTGTCTCTGGCACACCCGGGAGCATGCTGCCATCCCTGGTCTTCTTACATGGTTCCAGAGACCTGAACTCTGGTCCTCACACTTGCATGGTGGGCACCTTGCTCACTGAGTCACCTCCCTGGCCCGGGCTGTGGATCTCTATGTCTCCTCACAGCATCCGTTAGCAGCTCACTAGAGGAAACATACCCCATAAACACCAGTTGGGAGGCAGAACACAGCTTCCCAGGGATGAAATGCCCTGCCCCTGATCTTAGTAAAAGACGGATGCAGCATCCAAGCTGAGGTCTGCCTGACTCTGGAAATGCAGAGGGGATCTTCGTTTCTTCCATGTGGCTGTGACAAACAGCTGACAGGAACCATCTGAGGAAGGAAAGGTCTCCTTGGGCTCATAGTGTCAATCCATCATGGCAGGGATGGCCGGACACAGTGCAGCTCAGTTGCTGGTGGCAGGAGCAGGTGAGAGAGTCCACTCACATCTCAGGCAACCAAGAAGCACAGTGAGAGGAAACTGAACCAGGACCTTCAAAGGTCCTCCACAATCCACTTCTGCCAGCTACTCCACTTTTACCAGCTACTCTCCCACATCTCAAAAGCCCCACAGTCTCCCAAAGTAGCACCACCAGCTGGAGAGCCAAATACTAAAAGCAAGAGCCTGTGAGGAACATGTCACACTCAATCCGTTAATAAGGGTCCTGTTCTGTGGGCATGAGGGTGACCTCAGAGATGGTTGATCCTAAGACTGAAGGATGTTGTCCTAATGTATTTAAGAGCTTGTCTTTTCTATGCCCCCTCCTCTCTGTATGCCTCTTCATCTATCTGTCCATCTGTTTATCCATCCACCTGTTATTCTCCCTCATTTTATATCCACCTGCATGTCTGTCTGACTCTGCCTCCCTCCTCCACCTCCCACCTCTGCTTCTTTCTCCAGCTTCCTGATCCAGTGTGTGAAGATAGGCCGTGGGTATTTTAGCATACTGCAAGAGGAAAGCGCCATGAAAAAGAGGCAACAGCTACTCCAGAAGCTGAAGGAGGAAGAATTAAATAAATTCCAACCAGCCAAGAAGTTCTCAGATCTCCAGTGCAGGGACACTCAGCTGATGTAAGTGACCGCAGCCTCAGGAACCCTGAGCAGTGATGGCTCAGTCAGGGTGGCTCCCCTTTCCTAGGCTGGTACTCAGTTCCTTCTTCAGCCTTGTCCAACCTGCCTGGCCATCCTCACTCTCTGACATTAAGTGAAGAATCTTCTAACACACTTTCCGCCCTTCTATCTGATGATACTAAGGGCGACAGAAGAATCTTGCTTGTTCCCAAATACACCTCCCCCATCTTTTCCATCTCCTTCCCTGATCCCACCCCATATCCCCTTCCAACCAAAGCTCAGTACTTCCCATTTTCCTTTTTTTTTCTTCTTTGTTTTGTTTTATTGTTTGCTTGTTTGTTTGTTTTGTTTATTTTTTGAGACAGGGTTTCTACATGTAGTTTTAGAACCTGTCCTGGAACTTGCTCTGTAGACCAGGCTGGCCTCAAATTCACCTGAGATCCACCTGCCTTTGCCTCCTGAGTGCTGGGATTAAACGCTTGTGCCGCCACCACCCAGCTCAACACCCATTTCAGTACTGCTCCTCCCGGTACTTTAGCTTTCAGACGACCACCTGCTGTGCCGTCTGTTCTCCAGGCACTCATAACGCACGCACCTGCGCTTATCACTTTACCCCACGTCAGCATCTCTGCCCTACACCCCCCAGCTACAGCCCCTGGTCTCACACAAAGCCAGTACACAGAAGAGGGTCTGTTTTCTGAGCAAAGCCCCTTCCCTTTCAGGAAGCCTTTCTCCCAGCTGGGGGAGGACCATCCTCAAACGGCTCCATTGTGATGAGGTGCTCACATAGATAAGACAGTAAGAGGAACCATAGCACCAACACAGAAGTCATGGCAAGTGTCTGCTGTGCAACATTCCTACGAAATGGGAAGTCATTAGCCATTTGAGATAGAAACATGGTCTGAATGGTACCTGTTAGATTTTCCCTGACGTCACTGGTTAGAAGCACCCTTAGCCACAAACCCAGTGGTCCCAAAGCCTATGGGCTTCAACAGTCATCACAGACAATGCTCCAGGAAACTTATCCTGTGAAGACAGAGCACACTCTGGGGATGAAAAGGGAACACTAAAGCAAACAGGGGAGGCACGCAATAGAAACCAGCTGCAACCGTAACCAGTTAGCAACACTCTCCCGAACAGCCCAGCAGAATCACCTGGTAGCTGCTTACTTACTGTACAACTAATGGTGATATTCTGAAAAACCTTCCTCTGAGGATTACATGAAATGATGCGCAGCTCAACCCAGATCACAGCGTGTGAAGACCGCTCAGCTCCTGTCAGCGACTCTAATACAACAAAGTGATTTTCATCTCTCTGGGCTTCTGTTAACCTTATATTTTTTGCATAAAAATCTTATTTTCCATGAAGGTAGCCTACATCTAAGACCCCCCCCCCTTCTACAAATATGACTCCAATACAGAGGTCGCAAGAATACAAGTGTTCCTTCCTCAATGTTTTCTAACCAAGTGTTTGATCTTTTGCTTTTACAAAGCGAAAGGGATTATTTTTGCCCCATCCCGACCCCCCCCCACACACACACACACACTTTGGGATCTAAGCAATTCCCCTCAAAAGTTTCAAGCCTGACAAAGTAAGCCAGGAGATGGGAGAATGAAGCACTTCCTGTAAGCTCGGCTCCGCTGCGCTCAGTGACCTGGGTTTTCAGCTGTAGATTCAGTTGGAAAAGGTGGTGGGGGAGTGGAATTTGTCTATCACTGGAGCCAAGAGAAGGCATCAAACCACAGATTCAGAAATATGAGGACTGGCTTAATTTCTGTTGACTCCGGGAGACATGGTTAGGCCGGTAAAATAGAACACAGCCATGTATTTGCCAGTGAGATTTTTTTTCTAGTTTGTTTGTTTTCCAGCTCTAGGGTCAAACAAGAGTCAATGGACAAGAAAAATGGGGCACCTAGATTCTGGGGTTATCTTTTAATTATCTCTGTGACCCCAAGATTGTCCTCAAATTCCCTAGAGGAAGGTGCTCGGTTCTCACGTGTGTGCCAGCGTGACCTCACACGAAGCTGAGGTGATCTTTTTAAAAGAGAAATTGAACTCAACAGCACCCTCTCGAGGGTGTCCATTCCTCAGTGGACAAAGGCAAATGTATGGGCGGAGCTTACAGGCCCACCCAGGCAATCTTGTTAGTGGATGGCTGCTTCTGCCTCGGTGGCACACAGCCTCCTCCAGCCCCTCTGGCCACGTGCCCCCTGCTGCTGCCTCCCATTCTAACTCCATCCTCTCCTCTATTTACCTAATTAAATTCCGTTCAACCTCAGATCTCTGTTCCCACTACTATAGCCATGAAGTGCCAGCTCCAGAACTTACCAACTCAGGGCAACAAATATCACATTCACAGGTCTGCAATCAAAGGGCGGTCGCTGCTTCACTGGGCGCCAGCTAGGGTGAGCTAGGCTCAAGGAGATGGCTCCCTCCCACAGGCCTGCTGCCTCTCTCTGTGGGCCTCATCACAGAGCAGGCTAACAAGGCCTCTCACCCTTGAATCTGACATGACATCACTCTTGGCAACTTCTGTTGAGTCAACCCACCCCGGAGCCACGATCTAAGGACAGGAGAAAAGCATGGGGACCCACCTCTCAATTGGAGGTTTATCCACAAACCTGGGTGTTGTTCTCTGTAACTGTCATGACTCCCTCAGGGCGCTACAGCCAATGTTGTACTCTCCCTACGCACCCTGAGTCCCACTGTGCGCTGGGTTACTCCCACTCCCCCCACCCCAACAAGACTCTAAACCTCAGGAGGCAAGGGGTGTGTCGGGCTCTTTTGATGCTGCATCTGCTGCCTGCCCCTGCATAGAGAAGACAGTCAGTAGCTATTGCTAGCAGTGAAGCCGGAGTCCATCAGCCGTCCTGTAAGGGAAGCACTTAGATGAGAACCCTGAACAATTAACCCTCCAAGGGAACAGCTGCCTGGGAAAACAGTGATGCTCAAGCCTGGGGTGCATGACCCAACCAAACAAGCAGTGACCCCCACCCCAGTCTTCTGTTGCTGCTGATGCTCGGTGGTGATGGCCCAGAGTGAAGGCTTCTTGTAAGGTTTCAAGAACTAAAGCTTTACAAGTTTAACATGAAGCTTCTCAAATTTAAAATGTGGATGGTTGGTTAAGTTGCATGTGTACACACAAACATACACACACACACACACGCACAAGTAAGTCTGATTAAAACACACCTGCAGGCTAAATTCAGTTATAAGAAAAAAAATGTCTGTGATGCAGGAATATTTGAAAGAAAACCATTTTCTATAACTGAGATAACCAGTTCTGCGAGGGTCAAAGGAAAAAAAAAAACACTAAAACATGGTTTCAAAACACCCTTCCTAGAACATGGCCAAAGAGCGTGCCAGTCAGTCCTGGATTAGTAGCTAGCAGCGTGACTGAGTTGAGAAACACCTAGGAGATTTGCAGCGCCCACCTCTGGGTGTGTCTGGGAGGGGGGTTTCCCCAGAGATCTTCCCTGGGTGTGGGCCACACCATCCCACAGGCTGGGGGCCCAGATGGAATAAAATGGGGAGACTGAGAAAGCAAGTCACCACAGGTTTCTCTCCCTCTCCCTCCTCCTTCCTGGGCCTCTGCAGGGGAAGATGATGCACCACCCCTCCCTGCCACAATAGACTGAAACTCTGAGGCAAGCAAGGCAAATCCTTTCTCCGGCGATCTACCTCGCTTGCGTACTTTGTCACAACAGTGGGAACCAATACAAAAGTATTTCATGTCTTAATCTTGAGGAAGCGTTTCCAGCACCGAGCATGGTGTTTCTGGAACAAAGGATTCACCTCCTTGTTTATTTTCTTGGCTCCTCTAGAGGGGCAAGCGTAGTTTTCTCTTAACGTGCTCTGTTCATGGACTGCCTCTAGAATTGTCACCCAGAAAGCTGGCATGGTTGCCAGGCAGGTAGGTGACAAGTTCTGGCTAGATGCGGTCTAAAGCTGCTCCCTCTGGCTCACTCAGCTCCCCCCTCTGCTCTTCCCTCAGGGCCTACGAGAGAGAGAAGCTGAAGAAGTTGGAGGCCGGCATCATTATCCGCCCGTACACACCCATCCACAACTGCATCATCGCTCCCTTCTTGCCTGAGTCACACGTGTAAGCAGGCCCCACGGGTTAACGTGTCAGGAGCCACCTAGCTGCTCCTTTGTCCTCTTGAAAGGGACCAGGAACCTGGAGCCAACAAACCTGGCTCATAAAAACCAACAGAAAACAGATACCATAAATTGGGTGGATTAGACCCCAGTGGCAAATCAGATGTGGCCAGAGTCACCCCTTCCCTCACCAGGCAGACCCTCGAATGACAAATAGTTTGCAAAGCTTGATAAAAATCCGTCTTGAGCTCTTGCTGCAGAACTTGCACAAAAACACATCTCAGCTGAGGCTCGAGGGACACGATTACCCGCCCCCAAAGATGCAGAGAGCTGTTTCCCAGGAAAGTCTCTGTGGTCTGCGGCCTAATGGCCTGGCCTCCTCATCTTATAGCACACGGAGACTTAGTCACACTTCCAAAGCACACACTCGCTTTCTGAAACCTTGTCATCTGGTTCTTCTCCTGTCTGTTCTGAGAGCTACAAGTCCACAACTTTCCACCTGGAAAGGTTCAGGCAGAGGCATAACCTTCTTACCTCAGCACTATTGGCATCTGGAGACTGCGAAGTCCTTGCTATAAAGGGCTCTCCAGATATTTAAAAGCAGCGTCCCGGGCCTCTGCCTGGCAGATGTCAATAGCACTCCTCACCCCGCAAGCTGCGACGACCACAGATGTCTGCAGACACGAACAGATGGCCCCTCAGTCCAAAACTACACAGTCCCTCCAAGCCTCAGGGTAAGGCACAGGCAGCGCTGCAGCGCGCTCTGATTTATTACTCTCCCACAGCCTTTGCAGCAGTAACTACCACTCTGTAGACACCACATGCACTCGGCCCTCGGGATCCCTGCTGCGTAGGTGTTTCCTCACCCCCCTGCAGAAGCACACACAGCATGTCACCCTCTGCGGCTTTAGGTCAGGTCTGTCTGATGTCACACTCCGAGTTTTCCTCATGTGCACTGTAGGAAGGAGATCCCAAGGCCTTGCCTTTGGGGAGTTCATGTCATATTTTGAAAGTCAAGGCTCCTGCACACAGAGTAACCCAGGAGCAAAGTCACAGGGATAGATATTAAAATTATTAATAAAAGCACTCAGTTGATGGGTAAAAGATCCAGGCGACTGTTACCACCACCACCATCACCATCGTCGTCCATCACCATCATCACCATCATCACTGTCATCAGCACCAAACACTGAACACACCCTCATCCCTTCTCAATAGTCCAGGTTAACCCCACCTTATCCCACTGACCCCCTGCCCACCTTTGATTGACATTATCTGGTTTCTTGGTGCCCTATCTATGATAAGCACTCCAGTGGCAGCCTCAGTTGGAAGCCCTTAAAGCATCCCCTTGGGAAAACAGGCCTTGTGACGCTCGCTCAGTGTCTGTTGGAAGCATTCCCCCGTCTCCCCACCATTCCCACGGATACATCCGGAGATGGGAAGAGATGCCTAGAGAAATGGGCCACATTCATCTGATCTGAACAATGAGGCTTCAGTATAGTGAGCAGAAAGTTTCCTTCAATGCCAAATGGGGAAAGCAAACTTCAGGGGTAGGTGAACCCTGCCAGAGGTCTCACAATAGGACTCTAATTCCTGGCTCCAAGCTCAGGTATATTAGATAAACTACCATTGTGGCTGTGAACCCACAGTGGATGCTATAGTATATATTTATTGTTACTCTATAAGGTATGTAGTAAAGGTCTTGGGTTTTGCACATCACATGGTCTCTCTCAGAACTACTTTACAGTTGTAGCATGAAAGCCAAAAGGATGGGTTGTATAGTTTGTGTTCCAATAAGGCTTTCTTTATAGAAACAAGGGATAAATCCACTCCCGGGCTATAGCTTGACAACTCTTGCCCTAAACTAAAGATGGCCATTTCTTTTCCTTGACTCATGAAAGGTTCTAGCATATTGAATAGAAAGGGCATAAATGTATTTCTCAGCTTGGAGTGACTTGGACCCCCTCTCATTGATTCCACGTCTACAGATTGCTGGGTGAACCCACCTTGGCTGCTTACAGATGGTTCTACTTCCATGTTTGTGTTCATTTCTTGGATAAACTGGAAGCTGGCTGGCTTTGGCAGGACCAGTCTTCACTTTGACTGGTTGCCTTGGTGACTAGGAAGACAGATGCATCTCTCAGCATTTAGTGCAGGCTGGTATAGGCTTATTCTCACTGTATCCGAGAGGAAGTCTAAGAACAAGGTCCTAAACACAAGGCTTCCTAAGGCCAAAGCTCACAAAAGACACAGTGGTCCTCTACCATTCTGTTGGCCAAGCCAATCAAAAGGCCAGAGCAGACACAAGGCGCAAAGATAAAATAAAGCAGCAAAATCACAGTACAGAACATGCAAAGTGAAGAGTGGGGAGGAACTGGACTGTTTTAAAGATTTATTTTTATTACTCTTGAACTGTGAACATAAGAGAATCTGCGGGCTGTGTGCGCATGTGTGTGTGCACGCACGTGTGTGTGCACGCATGTGCATGAGTGCAGTGTCCTCAGGACTCAGAAGAGGGCAGCAGATCCCCTGGAACTGGAGTTACAGGAGTCCCTTGTGGGTGCTGGGAACCGAACCTGGGTCCTCTGGAAGAGCAGCCAGTGCTCTTAGCCACTGAGCCCCCTCTCGATGAACTAGAGCATTTTTGTAATCAATTGTATTACTCGTTTTTCTTCCCCCGTGACAGAATACTTAACCAAAAGTAACACAGGCAGCCCACAGGCAAAGTCACTTGCTGCCATGTCTGATAGTCTGAGTGTGATTCCTACAAGTTGCAAGGTGGAAGGGGAGAACTGATTTTGCAGTTTGTCCTCTGACCCCCACAAATGCAGCACAACACTTGTTCCCTTCCCCAGCACATTAAATAATTGTAAGAATTATTTAATTAATTACTTTTAAGTGATTAATTATTTAGTTATTCTCTAATGTAATAATTAAAATATAATTATTTTATTTAAATTGTAAAAATATAAAAAAATAAAGGGAAGAAGAAATCACTCTGCTTGAGTCCAAAAGAATTCGGCCCACCCTAGAGGGAAGGCAGGGCAGTAGGTGTGTTGTGCAGATGGCTTATGTCTGAGCTGATCACAAAACAGAGTGCGGGCTGAGCCGAGCCAAGGTACAGCTCGCAGGGCCCTTTGTCTGCCATCTAGTTGTGTCCCAGAGGTTTCACAGTTTTCCCAGACCAGCTCAAGCCCTGAGCCCGTGGGGAACAGGAGGGCAGGTTCTGCTTGTCGTCTCTTCAGCTGTCAGCCACCGCATCAGCGGTGAAGATCAGAGCCTGGTTAGCCTCACATCCCAGTGCAACTGATGCCAATACTGGCTCCTACTCCTGAATTAACTGTGGAGATCGATCCCATCACCTCAGGGGAGACTTGGCTTTTACCTTTCCAAATGGGAGGGGCAGTCTAGAGGACTGAGACACAGATTCCTGCCATCTCTTTAAAATGATGAGGCTGTCCCTAGCAGCCTTTTCTAAATACACGCTCAGTAAAGCGTGCCCACACCCCGTGTCCAGATCTGCCGTTGAATACTGGCATAGATGGCTGTGACGGCACTGTACATGCGGTCTGGCAGCCGGTGAGAGGAAACTATTGTCTCCCTGTCCACAACCCCCGGGATGTTCACACACACACACACACACACACACACATATACACACACATACACACATATACACACACATACACACATAAACACACATACACACAGATACACACACATATACATACATATACACATACACACATATACACACATATGCACATGCATACACACATGTACACACGTATACACATACACACATGTATACACACATACACACACGCAAACACACTCACACATACACACACAAACACATACCCATACACACATATACACACATACACACATACATACGTATACACACATACACACATATACACACACAGATACACACATACACACATAAACACACATACACACACATATACACACATGTATACACACATAACACACAAGCACATACCCATACACACAGATACACACATATACACACACATATACACACATCCACACATATACACATACATAGTATACACACATACACACATATACACATACACACACACACACACACACATGCACCTATTCCTACTGGAGTTGTTCAGGTGTGTGACCGCTGGGCACGCAGACGTGAGCTTTGCGCAAGCCCGCATGGAGCTTTTACCTACTGTGCCTTGCATTCAAGTGTTTTCTCTTTAAACCTGAGCTATAGTTCTGTAACCTGGAGAGGAAAGCAGATTTCTATCAAGTGCGCTTCAAGGCTTTGATTTTGTTAATTTCCCAGTTTGTTCATTAAAGGTTAGGTGAGAGAGTGTCGAGTTTGCGACTCTATGTAAGTTATCTAGATCTATCAGATCCTGACACACACACCCCCCAAATGACTCTACCCCCAGCAGGAAACATCAGCAGTTTTATTCACAGCAGGGATTCAGGAGGCTGGACTCAGTTTCCAGCCCCGCTGTCTGCTGACGTTCGGACCGACCGTAGATGAGTTTCATGGTCCTTTGTGCCTTGGTTTTTTTTAATCTACAAAACAGAGATGCTAATGGTGCCCTCCTCCCAGATTCATGAGGACGAGGGTGATCCACGGAGAGTGAGCATTCATAGCAGCGCTCTTCGGGGTGTTTACAGTGCCTGTGGGGAACTGCTGGCACTACACATTGTCTCGGTCGTCCCGAACATGAGACTCCCACCAGCTTCCATCCAGTAACCAGAAAGATGCTGAGCCCATTGGTGTGCATGCAGGGACAGTAAACCAGCAGGCAGCAGTGATAAAGCCTGGCACCTGAGGTGTAGAGACAAGGGGACACGGTGTAGGCACACCCATGAATAGCCTAACCTTACACAATGGGGTTTACTGTCCCCCAGTTCTGGGGACTGGAAGTCTAAGAGGTTGATCTCCCCATGGCCACACAGCAGTCCTCTCTCTGTGTGTTCACAGTGCCTTTCTCTGTGTGGTAGCCGTGGAGAATCTTTAGGTGTCCATATTCCCCTTTGCACTAAGAACAACGGGTGCACTGGGTTAGAGCCTTCTAAAATGGCTTCATCTAAAATGAAGTGCCTCTTCAGAGGTCACATCTCCAAATACACTCATGCTTAGAAAGGCTGGGTTTACATTTTTGCCGTAAGAACATCAGGGCCCACAATGAAGCCTGTGACAGGTGGGTTAGGGAGTTTGGAGAGCAAGGGTAGAGATGGTCGGCTTTGACTTGTTTGGGGCACTTTCAGAAATCACTAGGATGGAGGTGGCAAAAATAAAAAGGGATGGATTGAGAGACTGTAGGTGGAAGGAGAAGGAAAGGGGGTGGAAAAAGGAAGGGAGGGAGGGGGAGGAGGAAGGGAAGGAAGGAGGAGGATAGAAGGAAGAAGTCAAAGGAACTGAGAAATGAAGAGACGGAAGAAGGGAGAAGGAAAGGAGGGAAGAACAGAGAAGAATGGGAGGAGGGAGTTCATTGTTTAACTGCCAGACGCAGTGGGACCCAAGATAATGCCGAAGGTGGGAGAGTCCTTCCTAGGAAATAGGAGAAGGGAAATCTTTTTCTTCATCCCGAGGGGTGTGTAGAAGACACACATGGGATGAGGTGGCTAGTCGTTCTCAAACATGGTAGCTACACCCTCCCTAGCAGGAGAGGCTGGAGGGGGGCACTGCTCTAATCCAATCTGGGTCCATAAACAGATGGCTCTTGGGGGAAACTGTAAGAGAGGAGAGATCTCCCTGGACACTGAGAAACCATCCCTTCCTGCTCCTGAGAGCAGTGGGGCCTGGGAACCCTGGGGAGAACCCTGGGGAGCAGGGTCTGGGCACAGCACACTTTCAAGAAAGAGCTACCATGAAGCTCGGTAATGGAGGCCTCCATTCCATTAGTGCAGGATAAGAAAGCGGGGTGGAGAGGCAACTTGCAGGAATGCACCTTGTTTCCGAGAACACCACAGACAGCGGGGTGACCCTCTCCTGGCCTCACTCACAGCAGAGGGACCACCACACACTGGTTTCATCAGTTCCTAGTCAGAGCTCATCTCCCTAAGGCACTGTCTCTAGGGCAATCACCCTGCTGGCTGTGTGACCTCAGGTGACTCACTGCCCCTCTCTGAGTCTCAGCTCTCTCCCAGGTACAATGGTTGCCTGAACATTAAATCAAACACCCCAACACCATCTCTACATAACATAATGCGTAGCATGATCTTGAGCAAAATTGGTTGTACTCTAAAACCCCTTCTCTAAAATGGAGATAATAATTCATACCCCACCAGGTTGTTGGAAACATTAAATAATACGGAAAAAGCACAGCAGTCGGTGTCTGGCTTGCTGTGGACAGTGTAAGGTCTCCAAGCGATGAGAAATGTCCGTCAGACATATTGTTAGGCAGTGGGTTTTGTTTCATTTTCAAATAATGCACTCAGTGTGTTTTTCTCCAGTAGCCAGCTACATTTCAACCCAGCTAATGCTGTTTCCCATTTCCAGGCTTTCTTATGCCCTCAAGCTATTTATTACATTTTTATAAGATAAATGGCTGGACATCAGTGGAGTATTAATTGCCTTCAGTTCTCATTTTATTTGCCTGAGTCATGGTCTCCAGCCAGGGGAAACGCTACCCACTACACACAAATTCAGAGGAACTGGAATAGGATGCTCAGCTTCAGTCATGGCTCGATGACATGACTGTGTGGCTTCCCTAACCCCCCTGAACTCCAGGGTCCTCTTGTGCAATGTGGCCAAACACTTACCCATGTGCCAGCATGTTCACTGAAGCCAACGTGCTCACTGAAGCGAACACAGCTGCAGTCTCTATAGTGTGTTCCTCCCTTGTCTCTGCAGGGATTGCCTCTACCGCCAGCTGTGTGCGCTCTACTGGCTCCTCGAGGCCCTGACTATCGACCACACCCACCACACCATGAAGCCCTTGATCTCCTGTTGGAACCCCAAGTAAGGCCAGTGGCCCTGCATCCTACTGTAAACTAGCATTCACCTGGATGGTAAGGGGTGGGAACCTCACCCTTCCCACCCGTTGCCTCCCTTTGGTGCTTTTGGTGGGTGAATGGCTTTAGAAGTTGGCATGCTCTCTCTATGAATCCAGACCCAGGTAAGTTGGAGCCAGCTCCTACGCTTTCTCCAGAGTCCATTGTACACACTTCTTTATAAGTATCTCTTCCTGATGCCGTGTGGCAATGCACCGGTAGCTTAAAATGGGGCACAGAGGGAAAAGTTTCACCACAGATCTGGGCAAGCTACACCAGCATACTGTGGACTGGCAACCAGATTTCAGGCTCCTCCTGATCTCCCTGTGTCCCCTCAACCTTGTTTCTGAATGTCCCCCTACCTCTGCTACCACTGCTCCCCCACACATACACCTTTGTTCTTTTTTTTCCTCCTTTAGTCCAGGGGGATTTTGTTTGCTTGATTGCTTGCTTGAGTTAGTTCCTCAGTTCACTGGCTCATTAGTGAGTGTGCTGTTGGGGTTTGTTCACTGGTTGGTTGGTGGGTAAGTTGTTGGTTGGTTTGTTGGTTCATTGGTGGGCAAGTTGATTGGTTGGGTTGGTTCATTGGCTGGTTAAATAAGTAAATTGGTTTGTTAGTTATTGGTTGGTGGGTGGGTTGGTTGATTGGTTGGGTCATTGTTTGGATGACTGGCTTGAATTTTGTTCTGTTGGTTTTTTAAATATATGTTGATGGTTATTTCTCCACTTAGACCTAAGGTACTTGTTCCAGGTTCTGGAGCAGCTAGGTAAACCCAGATGGAAACTCTGGAGAATGCTGACTAATCCATGAAAATGTAAGCGGTGCCATCACAGGGATGGCTCACACCAGAGCTTTGAAGTCACTGCTTCAGGATCTGTAGAGATAGCTTTCGGCTTGTAGAGACGCCATCTTTGGGAGGCCCAGATGTTTGCCCGAATGAAACAACAGCAGTGAAAGAGGGTGGAGAATCCTGCCTTGAGGAATTGGATTTGTACTCTGAATACCCAGGCTGAGTTGAATAGAACAGTTCCCCAGCGTTGAGTCCCTGGGATCCATCTGTCTCCATGCCTCAGAATGGGGGCCCAAGCTGCTAATTTCAATTTAAAAAAAAAAGTAAGATCACACTAGGAGGCAATATTTTACCAGGACGCATCAGGAAGAACCCACTGAAGATCTAAGCACTCCTGGCTCCTGGCAGACGGAACCAGGACCAGACCTGGCCACCAGATGAGGTAATGCCACCCAGAAAGATCTCGACGAGAAGTCAGGGTATTTGCTAGAGTTGGTGTATTCCAGTAGAGCCTGCTCTTCGTGTGGGATGTTTTAACTTGTTGTTGGAGACATGCTTCTAAAGGCTTAAGTTACCTGTTCTCAAGGCCCAGAGATCATGATTTATAACAGTGCCAATCTGTGTAATTTAAATATGTGAGGACCCCACCATGGCTGATCTCAACCTCATGAATATGGTGTGTGTGGTTGAACTTAGAGCTGAGAAGCTGTGATGGCTATCCTTAGTTGTCAATATGGCTACATCTGGAATTAAATAAAACTCCAAAATGGAGGTTCATACCTGTGAGGGATCTACTACTTCTAATCTGGATCTATGAGGCAGGAAGACACACCTTTAATCCAGATCTTTTGAGCTGTAATCTGGGCCATACCCTCTGCTGGAAGCCTTATGCATGAACTATTAATAGCCAGTGATAACCAGTATGAACTGGCCCCAGCACACCAACATATAGGATTCATAAATATAGATGTTGTTATTTTTGTTAATTATGGGGTTAAGTTCCCTAGAAAGTACATGAAAACATCTTTTGAGATAGTCAGAAAGCAGAACGTCTTCTCTTGGATATTTAGTGTATCTTTGAGGTCTCACCCTGATGCCATTACATCAACTTCCCAAGACTAAAACCAGGTGGATTTGAGTGACTGGGATCAAGAGTTTGGGCATCAGTTCGACCTTCTATCCTAGACCCATTACTACAGCTAATTAGAGCAGTTGAGGCAGGAGAATTTCAAGTTCAAGGACTGCCTGGGCAGCTTAACACGACTGTGTCTGAAAACAGAAGACTGGAAAGAGCCCTTGAGTATCCATCTTCACCAATGCCTTTGTCAATCATGAGTAACACCCTGGTGCAAAAGCCCTAGCTTCAACATCCAATTCTGGAGGAGAAAGTTGAGAGTTTGGACTCAACATAGACAAGTCCACACCCTGCCACCTGCTACCTGTGTGATCACAGGCACGTCACTTGACCTCTTAGCCTGTGTTTCAGTACCTACCAAATGCATTGCGGACCCAAAAGAGTTATTACTAAAATCAGACAAGTTTATGTCTAGAAACACAGTGAATGTTCATTCTGTGACGTCATTGAAGATAAAAAATCTCTAGAGAGAGCCAGGCGGTGGTGGCGCATGCCTTTAATCCCAGTACTCGGGAGGCAGAGGCAGGCGGATCTCTGTGAGTTTGAGGCCAGCCTGGTCTACAAGAGCTAGTTCCAGGACAGGAATCAAAAGCTACGGAGAAACCCTGTCTCAAAAATCCAAAAAGAAAAAATCTCTAGAGAGCAGATAGAGCTGTGCTCGTTATGCCCTGAGACCTCAATCCAGTAGGGCCATGCCAGGAGAGAGCGTCCCTGTCCACCTTGGGCCTTGGCAACAGCAGAGGCCTCCAGAAACTATCCAACCAAAGAAGCCTCAGCCTCAGCCCCACCTATACCCAGAGCAACAATCACCGAAAAAGCCACACTACTTGCACCTAGAGGGCCCCTCTACACCTGGAGAAGCAATCACCAGAGGCTCAGCCCTGCCTGCACCTGAAGGACATTTCAGTGGAGTCCCAGCCCCCAGCCACTCCAACTGAAGGAAGAGGGACGCCCTGAAGCACAGGCTCCACCCATACTAATCGGAGGAAGAGATGGGTAGACAAAATGGTAAGAATACACTAAACAACACAAAGAGCAATACAACACCAGAAACTAGAGGTTCTGTAGCAAGAAGACCTGAACACCCCAACGCGGATGAAGCAGAAGAAAATGGTACTAAATATGGCTATATGAAGATGATTAAGGTCATTAAAGGGAAAATGAAAAATTCCCTTAAAGAAATGGAAGAAAAGACAAAAAATGCAAGAGATCAACAAATCTCTTAAAGAAAACCAAGAAAAGGCGAACGAACAGATGAAGGAAACAGTTCAAGACTTAAAAACCAAAGTAGAGGCAATTTAAAAAACACACAAACCAAGGGAACTCTGGAAATGGAAAATCTGGGTAAAAGATTAGGAACTACAGATGCAAGCATAAATAACAGTATATAAGTGAGAGAAGAGAGAATCTCAGGTGTGGAAGGTACGATAGAGGAAATAGATTCATCGGTCAAAGAAAATGTTAAATCCAACAAATTTTTAACACAATATATATCCAGAAAATCTGGGACACTATGAAAAGAGAAGAAGCCCAGTTCAAAAACATAAAAAATATATTCAACAAAATCATAGAAGAAAACTTTCCCAACAAAATCATAGAAGAAAACTTTCCTAGCTATAAAAATACAAGAAGTTTACAGAACACAAATACACTGGCCAAAAAAAAAGTCCCCTTGCCTCATAATAATCAAAACACTAAACATAAAGAATAAAGAAAGATTATTAAAAGCTGCAAAGGAAAAAGGCCAAGTAGCATATAAAGGCAGACCGATTAGAATTACATCTGACTTCTCAATGGAAACAATGAAAGCTAGAAGGTCCTGGTCAGGCATTATGCAGACATTAAGAGACCATGGACACCAGCCCAGACTACTATACCAGCACTGCTGTCAATTCATAGACAGAGAAAACAAAATATTCCATGAAAAAATGATATTTAAACAATACCTATCCACAAATCCAGTCCTACAGAAAGTACTAGAAGGTAAACTCCAACCCAAGGAAGTTAGTTTAGCTACATTCACAAAAACACAGGCAATAAATAATACCACACAAGCAAATACTTAAAAAGAGAAACACACACACACACGCAATACCACCAGCAACAACAAAAACAAAAATAACACAAACTAACAATCACTGGTCATTATTATCCCTTAATATAAATGGACTCAATTCACCTATAAGTTATATAGGCTAACAGATTAGATGCAAAAACAAAATCCATCCTTCTGCTGCAGGCAAGAAACACACTTCAACTACAAAGATAGACATTACCTCAGAATAAAGGGTTGGGAAAAAATTTTTCCAGTCAAATGGACCTAAGAAACAAGCTGTTGTTGCTATCTTAATATCTAACAAAATGGACTTCAAACTAAAATCAATCAAAAGAGATGAAGAAGGTCATTTCATATTCATCACAGGAAAAATCAATCAAGATGAAGTTCCAATTCTGAACATCTGTGCCCTAAATACAAGGGCACCCTCATATGTAAAAAAAAATTACTAAAGTTTAAATCACACATCAAGCACTACACACTAATAGTGGGAGACTTCAACACCCACTCTCATCACTGGACAGGTCTTCCAGACAGAAACTTACAGAGAAATAAAAGACCTAAGAGAGAGATAAAAGACCTAACTCAAATGAGCCTAACAGACATCTATAAGACATTCCACTCAAATGCAAAAGAATATACCTTCTTAGCACCCCATGGAATCTTCTCTAAAATCAACCACATAGTCAGTAACAAAGCAAACCTTAACAGATACAAAAAATTAAATAGCCTCCTGTATCTTATCGGCTCACCATGGCTTAAAGTTAGAATTCAACAACAACACTAATTGCAGAAAGCCCATAAACTTATAGAAATTGAACAGTGCTCAACTGAATCACTATTGTGTCAAGGAAGAAATAAAGAAATTTAAGACTTCCTAAAATTCAATGAAAATAACAGCTCAGCATGCCCAAATCTATTGGACACAATGAAAGCAGTGTTAAGAGGAAAGTTCATAGCACTAAATGTCTACATGAAGAAACTAG